CGATCCAGTATAAGAGCGCCACCTACATGGTTACAACACACAACGCACATGCTGACAAAGGAGAAGCCGCCCCCTCTGCTCGGTTTTAAGGTCTTCGGAGTGTTTTCCATGTAGATGTCACATGGCTTTTGTGGTTTGAGGTTACAGGTGTTTACTTTTTTTTAATCCTCATCCTCTGAGTCACTGTCTTTTCGTGTAGGAAGTGAACTTCTTATCGATGACATTAACTTGTCTTCGATTTGTTTCTTGGGGTTTTCCTCCAGGTCTGTCTTCACGGCTCCAGTTTCTGATAACCTCCACTCCAGCTCTGATTAGCACACACAACATGAATTATAGACACTTCAATCGCATAACATGATGTATAGCCGATGCAATATCGCTCAACAGATTGACAAACTGCAGCTTCCAAAATTACATGCGATACACTGAGATGTACTGAAAATAAATTCATACCTCTCAAACGAGCTTTAGTGACTTAATAGAATTCTAACAGTACCTATCATTAAAACCAAACAACCCGACTAAAAGTGCAACTGCTGAAAAATGAAAACATGCCTTCCTGATATTTTCCAGTTTAAAACAACACAAAACGATCATTGTATCCACTCAGAGATAGGTCTGTCAGGCCTACAGTCAGTTAGTTAGTTTTGTGCTTAAAAAATGTTCGGTTTTGTCAGCAAGTCGCCTCTTACCTTCAACTTTCAGGTTCATGCCCCCAAAGACCAGAGGACCGATGAACTGGGCCTTCATCTCGCCCTCGAAGTAAACAAAGATGGTGGGCAGGTTGCGGTCAGGGTAGTTGGGGATGCAGGTGGTGGAGATGGACTTGAGGAACTTGGTCTGAGGGAACTTCCTGGCTAATGCGCTCAGGTGCTGGTTGATGAGGGTGCACAGAGGGATGCTGGTAAGGGAGATGAATGGAGAGAAAACATCAGACTGACCTGTTGGTGGTAAACTTTGTGACAACAGTTGCTCATTTTTAAATGTCAGTTCATGTTAATGTCAGTAATTGTTTCCTGCCCCAAGTGAATATGTGTGGAATATGAAATAGACAGCATCAGATCAGCAGTACTGAATGGTTATACCAATACGAATCACATTCAGGCACAGTACTGGGGACGTGAGCCACAATGATGGCCCAATGGCATTAATTTTTTGGCCAGTTAGTTAATTACAAAATCTCCAGATTGCCATTGGCTAACTGATCCCTTCTTATTTTATCCAAACTACAAAACACAAAAACAGATATTCAAACAGCAACCAAGTGCATGAAGAAAATAAAAAAAAATACTCATATCTAAGCAGAAGCATATAAAGAATGGAAATAACACATTATCAAATAAATTTGAGGTAATTTAACAAATCAAAGAATTTAATTTTAAGAATTACAAGACACTGTATTTTAAACAGCAACGGTTTGCAGTTTACCTGCTCAAAATACCAGGATCACCTCCAACCATGAAGTGTTCTGGACTTAGAACAGCTTTTCACATCACCAAAAATAAATTCTCTCTAACTTTAAAAGTAGATTTGTTTGAGATTTTGTTCAATAGCATTTTAATTGCTGCAATATATAAAACTGAATAGGGCTGTGCGATATGACCAAAATCTCATATCCCGATATAAGAATTTTATCGTCCAATAACGATATAAATCACAAAAATGTAACATTTTCTGTAAATTCTGTGAATCTCGAGCAGCTCGTCTTGCGGGAAGTGTTTCCAGCTGCGCTTCATGTAGCTGGAGTCGAGTGTTTTAACCGATGCATGAAACTATACATTTTTAGACATAAGTTGTAACGGCCGCCATTTTCTTTGTGAGTATTGATTACACGGCGTGCTGCGGGGAACAGTCTGTTCTAACGTTTGAGTCTAAGGTTTATTTTTTAGCACCTGGCGGCTCTTTTTTACTTCTCATCTGTAAATAATCTGCTCTTTCACGTGATTCAGTTTATTTTGAAAAGTCTCAACAGGATCTTGAGCTTTATTGTGAAAGGTTTATGTGGAACATAAACAAGCGGACACGCGATGATGTTGTCGTTGTTGCTAACGACAACGCATAAAAACAGGCGCTTGTCCGTCCGTAGTGTGGTTATATTAAATATAAGAGAAAGAGAGAAGTTTAAGAAATTAATGTAGCCACTACAGTGACCATCAAACCATGAAAAAATATTGCCGTAAACAGTTTATTTTACACCACGAAACAAACGATAGCGTAAAATGAAACGATAGACGTTTTTATATCGTCGTCCGATATATATCGTTATATCGAACAGCCCTAAAACTGAATAAACATAATCCGACTGTTCAATTAAAACATTTTAATGATAACAGCAACCTGGAAGTGCTAAGTCTATTCAAAGAAAAAACATGTAAAATAACTGAGATTAATGGTAAATATACCCTTATAAACACGAAATGAAAAACTTCACTTAATATTTTCCTCATTCATGCTTACTGGATGACCTACCCCTGCTTGTAGAGGTGCAGCACCACCCAGATGCCATCTCCAGCCTTGTTGACCTCTTTGACGTAGTCCTGTCCAGAGATTTCTGCCACCTCACCGAACACATTCTTCATCTGGGTTGCTTTCCATTCTGCAAGACGCTTCTGTCTGCAAGGAGACGCAGCCTACATCAGTACCCCGACAAACTCACATGACTATCAATCCACAAGAAAAGTTTAAGACAAAGATTTTCTTCTCTAGCAAAATGTTTTCTTTTTCATGACCAACAGAAAAAACTAAGTATATTTTTAACTACCACATTATAGTTAAAATCAGCTTTTCCCAAGATAATTTAACAGTACCTCACCAAAAAAAAAAACAGATCAAGAGGTCTAATGGGTGCAAGCAGGAGGTGTAAACAAACAGGCAACTAACCACCAGCATAAAGCTGAAATTATTTATTCTTGTTCCACTCTACTTGAGTTGTGCTCCAGTTGTTGTATTGTTTACCTATACATCTCAATGGCTGCTTCATCTTCCTCACTGAACTCATCTTCATTTTCCTCTAGCTCTTCCAACGTCATGTCCTCATATGTTTTAACTGATCAGAGAAAAAAAAACATTAACATATCAAATAATACATCTGAATATTTCATGTGCATTTAACTGGTATTTGCAAACTATGTTACGTTGGGTAAAAATTTGCCTTTTGCAGTTTAAGCTACAAAGAATGACTGATCTCTCTTACCAACAGACTGCTGTTGGAGGGCCAGCTCCTCCTCTTCATCCTCCTTAGGTGTCTCCTTGGGAGGAAGAATTCCTTTCTTTCTCAGAATATCATTCCACTCTGTATCTTCATTTGGGTCCTAAAGAGAAAAGAAAAAGGTTTCTTTTAATCTGGGTTTCCATGCGATGTGAAAAAACAACATGACATTTCCAAGGTCAGTCTTTGTGCAAACAAATTACTTCCACGAGTTAACTTGATCTAACAAATAAGCCAAGATAGTGCTATGGACTAAGATAAGGCATGTGCACTCTATGGGTCTGGATGTGTTTTATGGTTGCTTAAAGTGAATGTATAAGAGCTCTGCTATACTCCTATTTTATCACAAACTGAGTGGATTTGTTTGCAGATCATATTTTAGCGGCACTCATTGGGATCATTTTCTGCGGAAGAAAAGCCTCATGATCCGTGAAACGGCCCTACTAGATTGGTCAACAGAACCCATTTGATGTGAACAAACAAGGAAAACTGTAGATTAACTTAGCAAGCTGATACCCAGCTTTGGGTGACTGCTTATCTTGATAGCCAATGTTAGAATGAGTGAATCCAGATAATGGAAACACAGCCCTGGGTATGTTGAACTCGCTTCGCTCCAGGTCGTTAAAAAGTTAACATCAAAACATTATTTGTTATTTACCCTTTTAATAAACACTTATTAAACTCAAACAAACTATAAACATTTTTTAAAAGACTACAGGTAACTGGATTTATCAGTGTTTAAAAGTTTTTACATTTTTTATCGTTTCCACAAAATATTTTAGCAAATCTGCTACCATATAAAAGTCTTCGTGTGCCAACGTTTATTTTTTAGTTTGACAGTAATCGTTTCAACTCTGGTCCCAGACTATTCCGAGACCTTTTAACTGG